CTACCATTGTTTGCGTGGGTAAGAAATAACCACGTCTGACAACCATGTTACGGACCCCATTCAAACCTAAACATCACGACATAAACCCCATATTCGAGCACACATCAACAAATCATACACAAAACACACAAAATTGACAATCCACGTAACCCCAATTCGAAAACACCAACAAATAACTCACAAAACACACCAAATAGACAACCCACGCACATATATTGACGACTTCAAACCAAAACTATCAAAAACTCAAATGGTCATAAAACACACAAATTATACAACTCACGTTTGAGCTTTTGACCAAAGCAAACAGAAAATGTCAAGAATCCCATATTCACAAAAACCTTAGTTATGGGTTGCCTACCAAAATCAAACGAATCAACATTGCAAAACAGGGAAAAAGTCACTTTTACGTTTCGAGGCCATCAGTCGTTGTCGGTTCACTAGAGACGCAATCTAAAGCCCACTGTTCCATCACACCTCGCCATCGAATCGCACTAGTGTTTTCTTTCGATGGTGGCCTTATGAATACTGTGTAATGAAGCTTCCATTTTCATTAGCCTAATGAGACACAACATATCACCTATATTTTGTTTCTTAAAAAATAGCCTAATCAAAGGTGTAATCACCAAATAGAACGTGAATTTTAAAATTCAAATTCACAACCATATATATATGATTATAATTTATAATAACATTCAATTTCTCATATATGGTACTGCCATTATTTAGGTTATTAACTAACAATATCGGGGGTAAATATGTCAACAAGTTTCTCACAAGACTTATAGGAACACAAGTTGTTTCGCAGGATCATGTGGCATAAGTCTTCCAAATAAGATTTATAAATAATTCTTCCTAATAATAATAATAATAATGACAAAAAATATATATAATAAAAAATTAGTACATATTTGAATTTATAAATTTTCTTACCAATATTTTACTTTTAAATTCTATTTAGATTATTGGATATTAGATTTTCACATAAAAGTACAATTTAAATATAAAATACGAAGAAATTCCAGTATCTTTAATCACCAAAACTGAGAAAATATGAAAAACCAAAAACTGAAAAACAGATTTAAAAAATAAAACCAACGAAAGTGGTTCTTATTTAGAATTTTGGCATCATACATTGGTTATTAAAGTACATGTAAAATATTATAATTCATAAAATATAATTTAAACAAAAAGGAAGTGTATGAAGATAACCTAAGAATTTTAGATGCAACACAAATCTTTGTTTTAAAAACGCATGCGCTTTCCTCTATCTAGATTCGAACGAATGCATACAACTTTAAGATTAAACAAAAATTATTCACAATGATTTGATCCATGATGGACAATTGTAAATATTATGTATATTAGTATAGAAGCAGACACAGGAAATAGGAAAGAGTAATTATTTTTTATTTTTCAATCATCATCAATGTAAAAAATAAGAAGATGGCTTCTTTTTTTTATAAAAGGGGAGACTGTTTGTTTATATTTATATAAGACTCTTAGAAGCAAATATATTGTTTTTGAGTGTTTAACTCTAAAAATTAAGAGATAGTTGGTTTATATAGGACTCTTCATGACTTTTAAAAAATAAAATAAATTTGAGAGGGTAAAATTGGGATTTAAAAAAGTAGAAAACATGGCAAGCTCTTCACACTTTTATAATGGTAGTAGATAGTAGATGACCGATTGTTGACTTCCCTTGGCCCGACAAAGTGGAGGTATCTATGTCCCATGATTTAGACCTTAGGAGTCATATTATGGGAGTTGCAGTGTTAGATATGATACCTCTTCTAAGGTGTTTGGTGTTTGGGCCAATACCACTCTCTAAGACCGGTCAAGAGCAGGTTGTTCTCTCAGGAGGGATGAACCAAGCTACCTTGGTGAGCTCTTAATCGTAGCCTCTAAGTCACAATCTTCCATTGATCCCAAGTAGTGGAGGCCTTAGTCCTAACCTAGGATGCCAAAGTGGTGGCAATGGTGATAGTAATATGTATCAGTCCCAACTAGATGGAAATGACACATGAGTGACATAGCCGAATTAGGAGCCAAGCTATGCTATTGTCGAATGGGAGTGGCCGAGCAAAGGTGCACTGGTTTAGCAAGGTGCTACTCCTGGCCACTTCTCAATATACCTTATAACCGTATGAGGGGTCATGGTCTGGCAAGAATTTGTCCAATCAAGCTGTATAGTGCTGAGCCATGACACTACCGAGTGGTGCTGTGGGCCATGCCTCTAGGCTCCTTATATTTTTTACTTGATTCACTCACCATGAAGGTCTGCCATGTGAAGGGTAATAAGCTTGAGGTATATGCATGTCAAAATCCCAATCCGGATAGTAGGATCTTAAGATCCTACGACTCTAATTAGGCTAAACGATCTGGATTGCACTAGGATTTTAAATTTAGTAGGATCTTAAGTGACTACGATCCTAGCCATAAAATCGTGTAAAATCGCACTACAATCCTAATCTATCAAAAAAAAATCTTATTATTTATTTCCATAGTTGTCAAATTGGAATTCGAATCGTAAATCGAAATGGTTTCATACCGAATCGCAAATCGAATTAAATCGCGAATCGTAAAGATTCGGTCACTTTTTCTAAATTACTTGAAAAAATATATCTACACACTTAGATGTTAAATATATTTTATGAATATGAAATATTTAGACTTCAATCAATGAAAATGTTGTTTTGAATGATAATCATGTAGTTTAATAGATAAGACATTAACAAAGGTTCCTATGTTAGATTATCATCTTACCTTTTCTCTTTTTTAGATATTTCTTATCAACCATTCTTAATAAAGACAGTAAACAAAGACACTCAATTCCCAAAATAACAATCAGTGTGTTTGGTTTGAGTTTTTTAGATTAAGTTTTTTGAAAATTAAGTTTTTTGCTTTTGTATTTTTTTGTTTTTAGTGAATATTTTTAACATTTTAAACATTTTTTTTACTTTTTTAGATGCACCTTACTTAGATGTATCTAAAAAGTAAAAAATTTGTGAAAAAATATTTTAAAAAATTAATAAATACATAAAAATACAAAAAATATACATAATTTTCGTATTTTTTTTGTATTTTTAGTATTTAGTGAATTTTTAAAAGATTTTTTTTACAAATTTTTTATTTTTTAGGTATAATTATGTTAGGCATGTCTAAAAAGTAAAAAAAAAAATCTTAAAATATTAAAAAAATTCAATAAAAACAAAAAAACACAAAAAATAAGAAAGTAAAATTTTCTGAAAACTGTTTTTAAAAAAATGGAACCAAGCATAGTGAATAATTTGACAACGATATTAATATTTAGACAATAAGCATATATACTTTTTCCAAGTAACAATGATCAAATAATAAGAAACCATTATTTAAGATCTTTTATTTTAAAGTTTAAAACATTTTCAAATGTATAATTGACCTCACCCATGTAATATGCACCTATAATTAATTTAATAAAATAGTAGTAGATAATTCATCGTGTAAGTTACTTTAATCTTAAACATCTTTAGAAGATATATTATGATTATTTAAGGAAAAAAAAAATAAGAATAAAGGTTAAAAGTATGTTGAGTCTGACTGAATTTGATTAAATCGTATTAAAAACTCCACGATCGCTAAAATAACAACAAATCATATACATATATTGGTTATTTTGGTACTAAATGCTATTAAAAGTTGTATTATGTCATTTTCAATAAAAAGATTGAGAAATAAAAAGCAAAAAATATATAGGACTCGATAGTTTCAAGAATTGCATGAATTGTAAAAAGTGAATCGAATCATGAATCGATTATGAATTGTGCGATTCACTAGAGATTCACTTCCAAAATAGATTCACCCATAGATTTGTATAGATTTTGCAAAAATTGCAAATCAAATCATGAATCGAATCGCAAATTGTAAAATTCTAATAACAGAGTTTATTTCTTACATGGTTGTTAAAATCGCGATCCGGATCGGGATCGCAGGATCGTACGATCCTACGATCCTACTTTGCCAAAACGATCCAGATCGTTGTAGGATCGATGTTATAATAGGATCGTGTAGGATCGTATGGGATCGTATAGGATCATAGGTAGGATCGCAAGTAGGATCGTAGGTAGGATCGCAAGTAAGATCGTAGATAGGATCGCAAGTAGGATTGTAGATTTTATGATTTTTCACCTTATTTTTAATATGTATCATTTTAATTTTAATTTTTATCCTTTTTTTTAATAGAAAGTAGGATCTTACAATCCTCGATCCGATCCACTAGACCCTCTCACCGATCCTACTTAGGATCCCGATTTTAACAACCTTGATTTCTTATATATGTATGTATATATGTATATCTATATAAGAAATTTGACTATAAATTCTTTCTACAACATCTATTCTAATTTATGATAACATAAAATATGCATTATATCAAATTAATCATTTTTCTTTAGTGATTTTCCAATTATTTAACGTACATTATCATTACAGATAATTTATCGTTTTATTTTACATCCTCAATCCGATTCTACGATCCGATCCACAAGTCCCTCACAAAGGTCCTATCTAGGATCCTGATTTTAACAACCTCATATATGTGATTTGGCACCCATGAGGCTTGCCACATAGCAAAGGTAACTCAGCAACCCACACATCCTTTCTATCTACCTTTTACAGGTCAATCTATCATGTTATATTCAATATAAAAAACCTTTTAACCTAGGCTTGCCAAAAACCTCAAATTGGTGAAATACTCCATGACTATACTAAATCAAACCAAACCAGACCAAACCTTAAGTCCCATCAAACCAGACCAAACCAAAACCAAACCTAAAATCATGATTTTTTTAGAAGTAAAAATCTGATACTTTTTTCCTTTTTGGTAAAATCTAAATCCTACTTATGAGAAGTAGAAGACAATTCCATATCATAGTCATTAGTTGTCAAGAAGTGAAATACAATCAATTTGTGACCTTTTTTTTAAAAGAACTAAAACATTTGAGTGAATAAAATGAACTTACAGCTTCAAGCATTTTGACTTCTTACAGTTGCAACGCTTGCAGGCATCACTCTCTTCAGCTTGTTCCGACTTGCTCCTGCACAGTATGTCAGGTCATCCCAAAAATACACAAAAATAAATCATAGTCAGAAAAGGTAAATGCATTTGGCTGAAAAAGAGCAATTCCAACAATAATAGTGCAAATACATGCCTCTTTTTCTTGGGACTACTCTGGTTAAACTCTTCAATAACTCCAAAAGCAGATGCAGCATCTTCCATAACCTGCACTTCATTAACACAGGAACTCAAATTTCCTTCTGCAGAGTTATGATTCAAGGACATATTTGGACCTTCCTGACCAGATACTAAAGGATCCGAAGAATAGCTGGAGCTTGGCATTCTTCTCAGTTGCCTTCCACTGGCCAGAGTTTCAAGCTTTACAGGGTTAATATTGCTTGAAGTAGACGCAAATGCATTCAAATGCAAACCAATTCCAGGTATCATAGGTGATGAATAACCTTTTTCAGGAATAGGGGAAACCACTTGCATTTCATTTAAGGCAAAGTTACATTCAGTTTGTAATGAGATTGAAGAGCCACAATTATAATTGTACATTGATCTCCTTTTATTCACTCCTGATATCTCAAAAACTAGTCTTCGTATACTACGCTGCTGTGGGAAACCAGGCTAAACACAACAAAAAAGAGGAGTGGCATGTTAGTAATTATGTATTTACGTTTTTTAAAAGAATTCAATTGCTACCACAATGGATGTATATTGAATAATAAAAGTTAGGACAATTTGCATGCAAGAAAGCACAAAAACACACACACAAACAATCATGATTAACAAGGTGGATACAAATAAGACAGAATACCTTGCAATTAACTGGCAATGAACTAAAGTATAACAGAGGAGCTTCATGTAGTGTTTAGCAAATATACTTACAGGTAAAAGACTCTTTGGCTTTTTAAGCTTTCAAATCATTAGTATTGGTTGGTGGAGTTCTTATGTGCCGCATTCAAAACCATGAAATCATGTAAAAGGTGACCAAGAGCTTGGTTCCCTAACCAACCTCGACTTGAAATTACATATGAAGTAAGCAACCGTTAAAGTTTTATCTGTGGTGTCAAGAATCTGTTCTATATCTAAATAACTCAACAGAAATTATTCACGCTTGGCAACCACATTTTGTTTCTTGCTATTCCAAGTAACTAGGTTGCCTCTAACAAAGGTGCAATACCCTGAAGTCGATCTCTTATCAGTCACTGATCCAGCCCAATCAGCATCTATATAGGCTTCCACACGAAGATGATCATACCTTAAAAAATAAAAACCCTTATCAAGAGCAAACTTCAAGTATCTCAAAATTCTCATGACAACCTCGAAATGAATCTGATGAGGAACATGCATAAATTGACTAACCACACTGACAGCAACAGCAATAGCAAGACAAGAGTGAGATAGGTAAATGAGTTTACCCACTAATCGCTGATAGCTCCCCCTGTCAACAACTACTCCTCCTTCATCATCCCCCAATTTTTGATTGGACTCCAGTGGAGTGTCGCAGGCCTTGCAGCCAAGCATCCCAGTTTCCTTCAACAGATAAAGCACTGACTTCCTTTGTGAGATAAATATCCCATCCTTGGAGCGAACAACTTCAATTCCCAAAAAATACTTCAAGCACCCCAAATCTTTGATTTCAAACTCACTGGCTAAATATTTCTTCAACAGAGGAATTTCCTCACTATCATCACCCATAAGAACTATGTCATCTACATAAACAATGAGTGTTGTAGTCTTACCAAGTAAGGAATGTTTCACAAACAAGGTGTGATCTGCCTGACTTTGTTTGAAGCCATATTTAAGCATAGCCTGAGTGAATCTCTCAAACCAAGTTCTCAGAGACTGCTTGAGATCATATAATGACTTTCGAAGCCTACATACTTTGCCTTTTGTCTGATGATTCTCAAAACCAGAAGGAATGTCCATATATACCTCTTCTTCAAAGTTACCATGGAGAAAGACATTCTTTACATCAAACTGATGAAGATGCCAATGCAGATTAGTTGCTAAAGAGAGAAGCACTCTGATTGAATTCATCTTAGCCACGGGTGCAAAGGTCTCCTGATAGTTAACGCCACACGTCTAAGTGAACCCTTTTGCCACAAATCTAGCCTTGTAACGCTCAATAGAACCATCCTCTTTGTGTTTCACAATATACACCTATTTACATCTCACAGGTCGTTTACCCTTAAGTAACTCAATTAATTCCCAAGTACCATTCTTCCTAAATGCTTTCATTTCCTCAATCATGGCAAATATCCACTCAGAGGTAGCAAGAGCATTCTGAAAATGGTTAAGAATGCTAACAGAGGAAATATTGGACACAAACGCTCTATATGAGAACGACAAATAAGAGTAGGACACAAAATTTGAGATAGAATGTTGAGTACAAGACCTCACACCCTTTCTCTCAGCAATAAGAAAATCAAGATCAATGGACCCAAGAGATTCAAAGTTACCTGGACTCTCATCCAAAGCAAGAGATGACAGTGGAGGAGCAGAAGTGGTCTCTTGTATCCAGTTAACTTTCTGTCTGTCCTTGTCCTTGACATAAACTTGCCCTTCCCTATCCTTGGTGACATTGGGTTCTGCAATCCCAACAGGAGGTGGTGGTGCAAGAACAACTAGTTCCACCATAGAAATCACTTCACACAAGCGCTCATTGTTTATGATAGTCGACAGCCTCTATACAACAACCTCTGCTCCGTCTCCATCTGCTGTGATTCGTTGTTTTGGAGAAGACGAAAGGCTGTCGTTCGGTTGTTCTAAAGATAAACAATGGCTCGTTCTCTCTCACTCCCTCTGCTATCGTTGCTTTGTCTGTCTCTGTTGATGAGGTCTTCAACTTGACCCACCACCTCTGTTTCTTCGTTTCTTTTTAAAAAAAATTAATAAAATAAAAAAAGAAAAAAGAAAAATAAGTCTTTAATTCTTTATGTTTTCATAGTGTACTTTATGTTTTCGTAGTGGCAATTGTTTGTTTTTCCCCTCCACCACCACCTTTTAGGTTTGTGATTGGTACTAGTTTTGTTGCGGGTTTGGTAGTACAGAATCTATGGCAGATTCCACCGGTGTGTCCACTACCTCTTCCGACACCTAGGAGTGAGAGTTTCCTTATACCTACTATTATGACTAATAACCCCAACCCTAGTCTTAAAATCACCACCTCTCTATTTAATGGTCAGAACTATCTCATGTGATCGCAGAGTTTGACTATGTTTTTGAAGAGCAGAAGAAAGATGGAATATGTGTATGGCAGGATATAGGCACCCAACACAACTGACCCGAGTTATGACCAATGGGAGATTACCAACTCTTTGATTATGGGTTGGCTTATTCATTCGATGGTACTAGACATGAGCGAGGGCTACTTATCTATGGAGACTGCCCAAGATGTTTAGGATGCTGTGGCTACCACCTATTCCCACAAAGGGAATTTCTCCCAGGCATTTAAGTTGCGCTGCTTTATTAAGAGCTCTGTTCAGAGAGAGCAGACGATTCTTCAGTACTTCACCTTCCTCACCAGCAGCTAGAAATGCCTTGATCACCTCCAGGACTATAAGCTTGTTTGCATTGCTAATTCCATTGGGTACAAGAAGTTCATTGCACAGGAAAGGGTCTTCAAGTTTCTGGCCGGTCTCAATGTGGAGTATGATCCAGTTCGAAGTAGGGTTCTGAGTATGGACACTCTTCCTTCACTTCAGGAGGCATTTGCCTATGTACAGAATGAGGAGAGTCGCCGGTCTGCTATGATATCCCCTGTATATACTAACCGCTCAGCATTACTATCTACCTCTAGCGATGGCCTCAACCTGACTCCTATCTCTCCGTCTACTGCCAAGGAGTCTGTATTCTGTGATTACTGTAAGAAGCCGCGGCATACTCGTAAGACGTATTGGAAGCTTCATGGGACTCCATCCGGGGGTCGAGGTGACAAGTCCGGTTCTAAAGGAGGTCAGTCAGGCCAATCTAGAGGACATGGCTCCTATCCCCAGGCTCATTAGTCTAGTGTCGTTGGTACACTTGATTCTACTTCTGCTTCGGTTGGCCAGGCTTTTAATAGTCTCTCTGGCATGACTACTCATGAGCTTGAGAATGTTCTGCGTCAATTACTGGACCACCAGTCTTCTACTGCTCTCAGTACATCTTCCTCGTCGTTTTTGCCCGCTCAGGTAAGTTTTGAGCCCTAGGCAATGATCGTCGTCGCTGTGTTCGACCAACAAGGGTGAGCCGAAACCCTAGACTGTCATCAACCCACCCAAAAACACTTGGGTGGAGCTGAAACCCCTCAAGGATAAGTCGGCTTGAGTTGGGTTGAGCCGAAGTCCCTTACGGATGAGTTAGCTTGAGCTCACTGACAGAGAGGACCTGTCTCCGGTTGGTGGCTGGTGACTGGTGACTCCGGTGGGTAATAGGAACAGTGTAGGTAAATGGGTTTAAGGTTAGGCTCTGATACTATGATGTTTTTAGAGAATACAAGATTAGGGAATGATTAGAATATCATCCCCTATTTATATTAATGAAGATTAATAATTACAAGGAAGCCCTAAGGTATAAAATAATTACAAAATAATAATCCAAATAATCATATATTATTCTAACATATTCTTCAGAATTACATTCTCATTTCAGTATCGAAAAAATTAAATGTACATGACAAGTCCATTAAATGTCTTCTATTGTCTATGTATTCAAATTTTAAGTTCATGGACACATTTCACAAACATGATTTACATGTCTGGCATGTTGGAGGATCCTCATGTATGATACTATGCACATCAAAACACGTTCATCTTTTAGAAGTGGTCATGGAATGCAAATATCATCTACCTGCATTAAATAATGCACGATGAATTTTCAGGAACAGACGAAAATTCTGAAACAAGAATTGAAGAATAAACAAACTCAAAGATTCATGTGATTCATGAGGCAAAAGTTCCCACAGTTCAAGAGAAAAAGTGATCTTAATACTTTACTTTGCAGCCAGAATGAATGCACTTATCCTTGTCATCATTCACTTCAGGATTTGAGGCATTGAGAAGAGTGCTAGAAAAATTTTCTGGAGCTTGATTTGTTTCCTTCAGCTTTGCAGCTTCTCCTGATAGGGACACATGTGATTCCATGTCATGCTCTTTGCAAGAACCCACAGCATGTGTTTTCTGCAAACTATCATTGTTATCTTGTGGGAGCTCGAGAACAGTTGAGGCACAAGAAGTTGTCTCAGAATTCAGTGTTTTGACGACCTGCCCATCAGAAGTCTCCTCGATGATGAACGAATCAAAGATTAACAGATCAGCAGCATCTGAAACCAGTTTCTCCCAATCACATCCCAATTTTTCTTTGTTTTGCTCAATCTGACCAATCTTTCCCAATTTTATTTCACTTTCAATTGAACAGAATCTCTCTTTCGAGCCATCTGTAGCAAATTTATTAAGTGATGACGGTGTGCTAGCCATCTCAGGCACATTTTCTGCTTTAGAATTGTTGTCTGGCAAGGTGTTAACATCAGAGGTCCCACAAACATATTTTAATGATTTTGGCAATGCTATAGCTAATTTTGAGCTTTCATTGTATGCTCCAATTGGAATCTCTCCGGATGAACTCCCAGGACTAAGATATCTCAGTTGTTTAGTGCACAGATCAGATTGTTTATCTGCACCCAAAATACCTTCTCTTGGATTGTCCTCATTTTCACAGTTAGAGAATTCAGGTCTTGATGGATCCGTTAAGCAATTCCTGGCAATGAAAAGCATGAAACACAAAACAAGACATTCATGAATTATAATTGGTGCAATTCCTAATTTGATTAAATGGCAAATTGAGATAATGAATTTTACCTTTTAAAAGATCTAGTTTCCTTGTGAGAACTAATGTGTGGAGAAGCAAACACCGATGGAGGAGACGCAAAAATGGGGGAGTTGAACGTCTGTGTGGTGTGTATGGACTTCACTGGCTTAATGGGCGAAAGACTGTTGATGTAACTAAAAACGGGTGAATCCTGGATGTCAATGAGGATTATTTATATGGCATCAAAAGAGAAAAAATCATCTTGAGCAATGAAAGCCAAATTTTCACAAACACCAACATAAATGATTATCAAAATTATCTGCTATGCATCTTGAACTCATACCGCAAATTTTGTGGGGGCCCATCCCTTCTATTTCAAATTATGAGGTTAACCACAATTCGTTTCGAAGGAAAATGCCCATTCTTGTCCTGTCAATTAAAAAAAAATTCCTTTCCCAAACCAGTCTGAATGATGAATCAAGACAATTTAACCAATTCGGATAGCATTTTCGTACATCATGCAAATCAACCAAAAATAAACAAACACTGGCAAAAAGAAAGGTACAGGATAATTTTCAAATATCACTACTAAAGTTTGAACTTTCAGTTTCTCATACAATGGGCAAAATGTGGATGCTAAGCAAGTCAATTAAAAATTGGGTAATTCATACTTGCAATCCCTGTAATTGGTCTATTGTGTCAATTTGGTCATTGTAGATCCAATTATATCCCTTCACATTATGTCAATTCAGTCCAATTGATAACACACAAGTTAAGAAATTCAACATATGAACCATTTCAAATTGGACGTCAACCACTTTAAAAAGTTTAAATTACCCTTTGATTTCAGTCCAATTTCTAAAGTGACATTATCAATTAGATTAAATCTGACACAATATCAAAAATTCAAGCTAAAATTGATGCAACCAGAACTAAAGTAACCAAATTGAACTACGGGTATAATTTGCCCATTAGAATTCATGGAACTACTAAAATTAACCGAAAATGGGCATAAAGAGAGCGTTAACAACATACATTCAAGAGACAAGTCAACAACACAACCAATCTTTCTGCGAAGAATTGATGAATTCAAACATGTACGAAAGCAACAACAAAGTAATAGGGTTAAAACAAAGGGAAGTAGCAAAATGCTCAGACTCAAGAGAAGAGAGGAAAACTAGGGGTTTTTTTTAAGAGACAGACCTCGAATTTAGAAGAGATTGGAGTGGCGATCTGGGTCTTCTCTGGTGTGTCCATTATTGTGTCCAGAGAAGCTCGAAGAAGACGAGGTGAGCTCAATGAGCTCCTCACATCTCTTTCTCTCTCTCACTCCCTCTCTCTCTCACTACTGTCCTGTCTAGTGTCTACTACAAAGACTTTTGTATATTATTATCTGTTTTCTCTCTCTCTCTCTCTCTCTCAAGAATTTCAACTGAGGGGCGGGAGGGCGGGAAAAGTACGGAAAATATTTTTGGAGAATTTTATGTTGAAGGGAAAGAATGGATTTTGGATAAAATCTCTCACATTTTTAAAATTTTAAATCTCGTATTTTTTTAAAATATCTCATTAAATATTGATATAAATTTTTACATTATAAATATATACTGATAAATAATATTTTCTCATGCAATTATATACACGCTCAATGTTACATGAGTGTGTGAAAATTAATATTGCGTGTGACTACTGTACGGGGAGGAAATAATTCTCCTCGTATAATCCTGTTGACCTAGTCCACGCTCCTCCGTACGACGTCGCTTTGTCACCTGAAAACACAAACGTGAGCTAGCCTTTTTAAAATATCTCATTAAATATTGATATAAATTTTTACATTATAAATATATACTGATAAATAATATTTTCTCATGCAATTATATACACACTCAATGTTGCATGGGTGTGTGAAAATTAATATTGCGTGTGACTACCGATTTATATTATAGAATTAATGTAAACACTCACATCTTTATATGTATATTATGTTTGTGCTAGTATGACTATCAATGTATAATTAATTTTTGAAAAAATAAGACACATAACAAGGTACAGTGTGAATGTTCAATAAACAAGAAACATATAATTAACCTTCAAAAAAATAAAATTCATATCAAAATATAATGTGAATATTCATAATTTACAATTAACATAAAACTGTCCTTAAAAAGTTACATTAATACCGATGTGAACATTTACACTGTAACGTAAAAACATAAAACAAAATTAAAAAAAAGTAAAAATTAACTATTTCAATTATTCAACAGTAATAAAAAAAATGATTGTTCAACTAACAAGTATAAAAAGAAATAACAGATATATAACTAACTTTCAAAAAAATAAAATTTATATCAAAATACAATATGAATGTTCATAGTTTACAATTAATATATATTATTAGCTAAAAAAAAAAACTAAACTCGTATCAATGTAAACATTCACACTACAACGTGAAAATACGAAACAAAATTTAAAAAGTGAAAATCGACTATTTTGATTGTTCAATAGTAAGAAAATTGAATGCTCAACAAAAAAAATATAGTAACAATCAATATACAATAAATCATCAAATAATATATAAAAATATCAAATAGTTCATATATGATGATGCACCTTTTTTAAAAAATCTGTATATAATCAACTCCGGCATAATACAGACGAACAAACTACACAATATCAATAACTACACAAACTAACAAATAGATTATGGTTTATGTATAATAATGACAAAAAATGATTGTTCATTGCCGGTTTACCATCATCTCTATCATTAGTCTATATGTACAACTAACATTCTCTTCTAGATGTTATTCCATGGTAGGACATTATTGCAAAACAATGATGAAAGATGATCTTTCAAATATTCTTCCATAACAGGACATTACTGTAAAATAATGGTAAAAAAATTTCTTTGATTAAGTGAAATCCTCACATTGAAAATAAGAAAATACTAAAAATAATAATATTATATATTTATATACAATTTTTTATATATATCATAAATGAAATATATTTAATATAATTTTTTGTCTCCTAGATATATGATATAATATAATATTAGGATAAATTACAAATACACGCCTAAGATTTGTTTAAAGTACAAATTGCTCCATATGATTTGAAAAATTACAAATATCATTTTGTCAAAAAATTTTATTTAACAGAATTAACTAAAAAAAATAAATTTCATCATTATTCTCCTATACAATAATAAAATTACTTAAATTATCAATTGAAACATATTTCTAATATCATTAAAAACTATTAATTGATTTCATGATTTATTAATAAAATAAACGATTTGTTATGAAATTAGAAACCTTAAGAAGTGAAATGTAATTTCTAAAATTACAATGATGATTTGTATTTTAATTAAATATCAAGGGATATATTTGTAATTCACCCACAACACTTCTAATATGGGAAAAATGGCCTATTAAAATATAAATTCAAATGTATGGGATTATTGAACACAATAATATTTTGTGGACTTATTTAAGTTATAAATAAATCTCTATGTGAAGTAATCATGATAATTTTTTATTATTGTTAATTTGAAAAAAATATTACAAATATTTGGATCCATTACAATTTTGAAATTGAAAAGATCACAATCCAAATTATTTCTAAAACGTATGAATGTATGATTCATTCTGAGAAATTCTTGTACCTATCCGTATAAGTTGGTCATAATAAATTTTTTTTATAAAAAGACATGTAAAAAAATTATAAAAAAAAATGAATTGATTTTTTTTTGTTTTTTTTTTGGGACCAAAAACTCATGTATCCAAACATAGCCTCAACACATTCTACTGCTAAAAGTGAAATTCATAACCATTCTCACAAGAAGAAATATGGTAACTAAGTGATAATAAAAAAAATAAAAATAAACTTTGCTAAAGTAAAAGTGAAATATGTCTTTTAAAATCATCAGCTTTTAAATTAATCTTTTAAATTTTTTTTTTTTTGAACCAAATCTTTTAAATTTTGTTGAGAGTCTCATATGTGTCCATTATGAGGGGACTATCACACATGTTAAAGGATAATTTATTTGGTGGTCGTGGTGCCTCAAGTATAATAATTAGTGTGCCGATAAAAAAAAAAAAAAAGTATAATAATTAGTGGGGAGAATAAAACTCATGATTTTATATTAGATGATTAGAGAATAATAAGGATATAATAATTTGTGATTAATCAAAAATATAATCAAGCTATATTTCTAAATCACGAAATAATTTATTCATGTTAAGATTTACTTGTTAAATAGTATTACAAATGGTTTTAGTATAATATTTTTAAATTGATGGTTACCAAGACTTTCTTTGAAAAGTTAACTACTTTAGTTAACTATTTGACTTTTTAACTATATTAACCTAATTACAAAAGTTGTGTTTGGTAAGTTAGTTGGCTATTTTTTTGGTTGATTTGATGGTTGTGAGAGAAAAAATAAAATGATTATGGATTAGATGTGACATTTTATCTTATTGACTATTTTAGAAATGGGTTGACTTTTTGACTATTTTGACTATTTTAGCTTAGGGCTAAAAAACCTGATTTGAGAAGGCTTTTGGTTTTTTTGACTTTTTTTTTAGAGAAATAATGTAATAATTATGGGTTGAATGTGATATTTTGTCTTATTAAGTTAAAAAACTTATTTTGTTTTTTGTGACTATTTTAGCCAAAATAGCCTTCGAACCGACTTCCCAAACATAAGCTTAGTCTATTTTGTCCTTTGGTAAGCTATTTTAGCCCAACTCCTTCCCAAACAAGGCCTAAACTTCATTTTTTTCAAAAATGTTTTCCTGAATGCTATTTTCAAATGGATGAAGTATCAATAAATCCAAAAATTGTAATCTTATGAACTATTTAGTCATCTATTTTTTCTTATGAACCCAAATATCTCATTAAAGTAAAACTTACATAAAAAGGTAATTACTTACTCATTTTGGTTTGATTTTTTAGGGATAAAAATGAGTGTCTAAATGTGAAATTACACATTTGGACAATCCACACTACAGAGGTTTTGGATCTTCCCTTCTTCCGGAACAAATCACACATCACAAATAAGAACAGAACACTCTAATTTAACACTCAAATAACGTAACACTGTAACATAACACATTAAAAAACTCCATAGTTTACTTTTTCCAAACGTAACAATGTAACACTAAAAAAAAACTTCTTCCAAACTTAACACTCAAACGTAACACAAAAAAAAAAACCCCTTAGTATACTATTTTTTTCAAACGTATCACCCTAATCAATGTAATCCTAAGCATGACACTCCAATGTAACAAAAAAAAAAATATACTAAAAAATTATTTAGTATACTTTTCCAAACGTAATTTTCATAGTTTGAAATTATATATTTATTTAAAACTTATTAAGAAATTTTTGTACTCCTTTAGAATATTATATTAGAGTGTTACGTTTGAGAAAAGTATACTAAATATTTTTTTTTTGAGTGTTACATTAAGATTTTTTTTTAGTGTTATATTGAAATATTACATGGGAAAAGTACACTAAGAATTTTTTTGTGTATTATATTGGAGTGTTACGCTAAAAACTTTTTTTGGAATGTTATATTGGAGTATTACGTTTGAAAAAAATATAATTTTTTTGAAGTGTTACAATAAAGAGCTTTTTTAGAGTGAAATATTAGAGTGATATGTTTGAAAAAAATACAATAGAGAGTTTTTTTGAAATATTGTATTAGAGTATTGTAGTTTGAAATTATACATTTACGTTTACCCAAATCTTACTAAGAAATTTTTGTACTCATTTTGAAATATTTGAAGAATCTCATATTCTTTTGAAATGTTTGAAAAATCTCATATTTCAAGTCATTTTTGTACTTATTTTGAAATGCGAAATTTATGAAAAATCTCACGTTTTAAGTCATTCAAAATATAAAAGATTCCTATATAAAAATTCATCCAAAATTTAATTTACATACATTACGTATCTTACCTTTCTAGTAGAAAAAAAAAATGAAGAATGAAACATAATATAAATAAGGATATAACTGTAAATTTAATTTTCAAATAATATATTAAATCTATCTTTTCAAAATCAATGTATAAAAAAAAATTTGAGACTAAATAAATCACCATTTCTCGAGATTAAATTTATAGATAAATTTTCTATTTTCAAGTCTCCTTACCAAATATTTACTTTAGGGACAATTTTAGGGTATTAAAAATGCTTGACACCCCCCAAAGTTAGGGATCCTATGTGGATCAATCATGTATTTTTTTTTTTCTTTTCTGGACCAATCACTGATAAATAGATTTTGTGAGATTGTGTTTTTTTTTTTGGAATCTCTTGCATTATTGTTTGTGGTATTGATAACTTTTCCGCCTTCACTGCCTGGAAAACTCGCCACCTGTCCCACGAGCACCACTATTCTCACTGCCTGCAAAA